CAAGAATTTTATGTCCAGACAAGCTGTTAAGTATAACACCAATTGACATCTTTTGTTTTCTTTTCTTTTTTTGAGACGGTCTCATTCTGTTGCCCAGGCTGGAGTGCGGTGGTGCAGTTTTGGTGCACTGTAGCCTCGACCTCTCAGGCCCAAGCAATCCTTTCGTCTCAGCCTCTCAAGTAACTAGGACTACAGGCATGTGCCACCACACCCAGCTAATTTTTGTTTTGTTTTGTTTTTAACAGAGGTGGTGTTTTCCCCATGTTGGCCAGGCTGGTCTTGAACTCCTGACCTCAAGTGATCCACCCACCTCACCTCGGCCTCCCAAAGCGCTGGGATTACAGGCGTGAGCCTCTGCACCTGGCCTAATTTTTGTATTCTTTATAGAAATAGGGTTTCGCACTGTTACCCAGGCTGGCTTTGAACTCCTGAGCTCAAGCAGTCTACATGTCTCAGCCTCCCAAGGTGCTGGGATTATAGGCGTGCACCACCATACCCGGCCAACATGTATTTTCAAATGGAAAAATCATGGCTTATAGTTTCCACAAATCAGCTCTTGGCAGGGAAAGAAAAGAGAGGAGACTGTGTTATAAACTATTAAATCAAGAAGTGAATGGAAGACTAAGTTAAAAAAATTATTTTGCATTGAATAAATTTAAATGTAGAACTAAGAACAACAACAGGAAAAAGCCTTGAGAGTTAGGGCTGCGTAGGTCGTTGCAAGTCTGGAAATTTTTCTCAGTATTTATAACATGGGATCAATTGCAGTAATGCTGATAAGTATACTAATTTTCTTAGTGTGGAGTAAAAAAGTGTTATCTAAAGGAGATAGACTGTAATTCTTCTAAGAAAACAGACTACAGTTGACCCTTGAACAACTTGAGAGTAGAGGTACCAACCCCACATGTTGAAAATCCACATTATAACTTTTTTTTTTTTTTTTTTTGAGATGGAGTCTCGCTCCCATTGTGCAGGCTGAAGTGCAGTGGCTCACTGCAAACTCCACCTCCCAGGTTCAAGCAATTCTCCCTCTTCAGCCTCCCGAGTAGCTGGGATTACAGGCGCCCGCCACCATGCCCGGCTAATTTTTGTATTTTTAGTAGAGATGGGGTTTCACCATGTTGGCCAGCTGGTCTCGAACTCCTGACCCCAGGTGATCCACTCGTCTTGGCCTCCCAAAGTGCTAGAATTACAGGCATGAGCCACCACACACGACCATATTAGAACTTTTGACTACCCAAGAACTTAACTGATAGCCTACTGTTAACTAGGAGCCTTGCTGAAAACATAAACAGATTAACACATATTTTGTATAGGTATTATAATATGACAAATAGTAAGCTACAGAAAAGAAAATGTTATTAAGAAAACCATAAGGAAAATACATTTAGTATTAATTGGAAGTGGATCATCATAAAAGTCTTCACATTAGATGGAGGAAAAAGAGAAGGGTTGGTCTTACTGTCAGGGTAGCAGAGGAGAAAAAAAATCCACGTATAAGTAGAACTACACAGTTAAAACCTTTGTACTGAATATAGTGAAATGTATAAAGGCTAAAGGCAATACAAAATATAATAGGATTAGGATGAAACAGGTCATAAATATAAAATTATAAATTGGATAAACTCATTTATTAAAAGAAAATGACTTGGACCAGGCAGGGTGACTCACTCCTGTAATCCCAGCACTTTGGGAGGCCCAGGCAGGGGGATCGCTTGAGACCAGGAGTTCAGGACCAGCCTAGGCAACATGGTGAAAGCTCGCCTCTACAAAAACTACAGAAAATTAGCCATGTGTAATGGTATGTACCTGTAGTCCCAGCTACCCAGTAGACTGAGTTAGGATTGCTTAAGCCCTGGAGGTTGAGGCTGCAGTGAGTGGTGATCGTGCCACTACACTCCAGCCTGGGTGACAAGAGTGAGACACTGTCGGCCTCAAAAAGAAAAGAAAAGAAAAGAAAAAAAATTGCTCAAAAGTAAAATGATTCAGATTGGGCAAAAAGTCAAACCCAACAAGAGTTGCATCTAAAAGGGATCAGCAAATAACATGTTAGTAAATAGTTTTATCTTTGTGGCCATATGATATCTGTTGCAACTACTAAATTTTACCACTATAGCACAGAAGCAGCCATGGACAGTATGTAAATGAATGAGCATGGCTGTGTTCCAATAAAACTTTACTTACAAAAACAGACAGTGGGCCACATTTGTCCTGTAAGAAATAGTTTAGTTTGCTGACGTGTGATCTAAAACATAATGTGGCTAGGCACAGTGTCTCATGCCTGTAATCCCAGCACTTTGGAAGGCCAAAGCGGGAGGATATCTTGAGTGCAGGAGTTTGAGACCAGCCTGGGCAACATAGCAAGACCCAGACTCTACAAAAAATTTAAAAAATTAGCCAGATATGGTGGCACACACTTGTAGTACTGGCTACTTGAGAGGCTGAGGCAGGAGGATCTCTTGAGCCCAGAAGTTTGAGGTTGCAGTGAGCTATGATCATGCCACTGCAATCCAGCCTGGCAACAAAGTGAGACCCTGTCCTCAAAATAAAAAATAAATAAAAATAAAACACAACACAGTGCCTCAAAAGTTGAGAACAAAAGTACGGGCAAAGACTCAGTTGACAAATTCAAACCAAAAAAGCAATAGTTCAAATATTTGTGTCAGACAAGGTTGAATTCATCACAAAATGCATCAGTTGAGTTGCATTTGTTGTTGTTGTTGTTGTTGTTGTTGTTTTGAAACAGGGTTTCCCTCTGTTGCCCAGGCTGGAGTGCAGTGACACCATCTCGGCGCACTGCAACTTCATATCCTTCTATCCCTACCCTCAGATTTCTTTCTGTGATTTGTAAAATCCTCTCATACCTACAGACATGTAGATTCCTCTTTTTTCTTGAAGTTCTTATAGGTTTCTTTGAACTAATTTGTGAAAGATACGTGTGTGTTTGGCTTGTGGGTGAGTAGAGCAAAGATGGTGAAAAATGAAAAATGGCATGGATTTACTTTGAAATATTTCCTGTCCCAAACATCCAGGGCAGCTAAATTTAAATGTTTATGTTTTATAATTTTCAAATTTAAAAAATTTTAATGGACACAAAATAATTGTACATATTCGTGGGGTATATAGTGATGTTTTGATTCATATAATGTATAGTGATCAGCAGGGTAATTAGAATATCTGTCATCTCAAACATCATTTTTTTGTGTATTGGGAACATTCAATATCCTCCTTCTAGCTATTCAAAACTATGTAATAATTATGGTTAACTAGCGCCATCCTATAGTGCTAGAGAACATTAGGGCTTATTCCTCCCATCTAGCCATAATTTTGTATCTGTTAACTAGCTTTTCCCTACCCTACCTTCCTCCCTCCCCTTTCCAGCTTTTTTTTTTTTTTTTTTTTTTTTTTTTTTTTTTTTTTTTTTTTTTTTTTTTTTTTTTTGGAGACAGTTGCACTCTGTTGCCCAGGCTGGAATGCAGTGGCGCCATCTCAGCACACCGCAACCTCCACCTCCTGGGTTCAAGCGACTCTCCTTCCTTAGCCTCCCCAGTAGCTCGGGTTACAGGCACCCGCCACCACACCTGGCTACTTTTTGTATTTTAGTAGAGACAGTATTTCACCATGTTGGCCAGGCTGGTCTTGAACTCCTAAGCTCAAATGATCCACCTGCCTTGGCCTCCAAAATGCTGGGATTACAGGCATAAGCCACCACGCCCGGCCTGCTTTTTACTTCTAGGAGATCAACTTTTTTAAGTGACTACATAAGTGAAAACATGTGTGTTTAATTTTCTATACCTCATTTATTTCACTTAAGATAATGTCTTCTAGTTCTATCCATATTGCTGTGAACAAGATAATTTTTTCTTTTATTTTGGCGGGAATGGAGTCTTGCTCTGTCGCCCCTGCTGGAGTGTAGTAGTGCGATCTCGGCTCACTGCAACCTCCGCCTCCCGGGTTCAAGTGATTCTCCTGCCTCAGCCTCCCGTGTAGCTGGGATTACAGAGTGCCACCACCCTCAGCTAAGTTGTGTATTTTTAGTAGAGAAGGGTTTCGTCATGTTGGCCAGGCTGGTCTCAAACTCCTGACCTCAGGTGATCTGCCTGCCTTGGCCTCCCCAAGTGCTAGGATTACAGGTATGAGCCACTGTGCCCAGTGCCCGAGAATTTCATTCTTTTTAATGGCTGAATAGTATTCCATTGTGTATATATACCACATTTTCTTTATCCATTCATCTGTTGTGGGACACCTAGTTTGATTCCATATCTTGGGTATCATCAATAGTGCTTTGATAAACATGAGAGTCCAGATATCTCTTTGATGTATTATTTCCTTTTCTTTGGAAAAATGCCTAGTAGTGGGTAGTTCTATTTGTAGTTCTTTGAGGAAACTTCATACTGTTACTTTCTTTCTTTTTTTTTTTTTAAAGACATAGTCTCGCTCTGTCCCAGGCTGGAGTGCGGTGGTGCAATCTCAGCTCACTGAAGCCTTGACCTCCTGGGTTCAGGCGATCCTCCTGCCTCAGCCCCGAGTAGCTGAGACTACAGGCGCATGCTACCAAGCCCAGCTAATTTTTGTATTTTTAGTAGAAACAGGGTTTTGTCATGTTGACTAGGCTGGTCCCGAACTCCTGACCTCAAGTGATCCACCTGTCCTGGCTTCCCAAAGTGCTGGGATGACAGGCGTGAGCCACTGTGCCCGGCTCATACTGTTCTTTATAGTGGCTATACTGGTTCACATTCCTGGTGTACAAGAGTTCCCTTTTTGCTGCTTCCTCACCAGCATTTGTTATTTTTTGTCTATTTGATAATAGCCATCCTAAGTGGGGTAAGAGGGTGCCTTACCCCAATTTTGATTTGTATTTCCCTGATAATTAGTGATGTTCAGCATTTTTTCATATATTTGTTAGCCATTTGTATGCCTTCTTTTGAGAAATGTCTGTTCAGATCATTTGCCCATTTAAAAATTGAATTGTTTGCATTTTTTTCTTTTGAGATGTTTGTTTCTTATATATATTCTGGATATTAATCCTTTGTTGGTTCAATAGTTTGCAGATATTTTCTCCCATTCCATAGATTGTCTGTGCTGTTGGTTGTTCCTTTGCTGCTCAGAAGCTTTTTAGTTTGATATAATCCCATTTGTTTATTTTTATCTTATTGTCTATACTTTTCAGATCTTAACTCATAAAATCTTTCCCCACATCAGTGTCCCCTGTGTTTTCTTCTAGTAGTTTTACAGTTTCAGGCCTTACAATTAGGTCTTTGATCCATTTTAAGTTGATTTTCATATGGGGTGAAAGGTGGGGGTCTAGTTTCAGTCTTCTGCATGTGAGTGTCCAGTTTCCTAGCACCTAAATTTAAATTTCTAGTCCAATTTTTTTTTCTTATATTCTCATAAGGTGAAAAGAGAAAGCTCTTATTTTTTACATTAATGTGTGATTAGATTTACTTAGTAATGAATGTGATTTTTTTCCTTCCAGAAGAGAAAATGTGATTTTTATTAACTAAGGTAATTTTTCGAGTTTTTTTTTTTCTACTACAGTAAGTGAAGTATTTCTTGAGAAGAATACAAATTCTCTACTTTTATTACTGGCAGGTGGAATGTAGTCATGTATTACAAGAATGAATACTTATGAATAGTAATTTGTTTCTCCAGTGTTTACCATATACTAGGGATGATACTTAGTATGTTGCATATTTTGTGTCACTTGATCCTTCCAGCATCGTGATGATAACATAGCTACTATTATTATCCCTGTTTTACAAATGAGAAAACTGACATTCAGATAGGTTAAATGATTGATTCAAGGTAACACAGCAAGTGGCAGATTTTAGACTTGAACAACCGTGTCTTCTGACACCTCCAGCGTTTATGTATCTTGTCATTCACTGGTAAAGGAGAGAGTATTTCTGGACTTTTTCAGTAGCTGATATCTGAGCTGTTCCATCAGCCATCTTGATGGCTGGAAGTGCAGAAGAGGATGGGCGAGACTCCATCAGCTCACTAAGATCCTGACTTGGCAAAATAGACTCAGTTTCATGATAGACTAGATGGTGTTGTAATATATAAATCCTACCATTGGGCCTTTTGTGTGTAGTTTGGTAGTGAGTATTGTGTAATTCCCTCCTTCCATTTTCTCACTGACTCTTAAAAGACTCATAAGCCATGATTATTATACTACTTAGTGTGATTGGAAGCACCACATGGTGCAGAACTCTGAACTGAATGATGTAAGTATGGTCAGGTGACTAGTCTTTGGGCCTGAGAAGTTTATTGAGATTGGATGGGATAGGTGTAGGGAAATATAAGGGAAAGAACATTTTTTAATGGCAGAAATTTGCTTTATTTTGTATTTCATAGAAACATTTATAAATTGCCAAATATTTTACCATCATATCAAAAAAAGTAGAATTTCTGAGAGAAGTTTGAGGTCTACCATTTATTCTGCTGGCATTGTAAAGGGATGTGGGTTCTGAAAATAAGTATAGCATGCAAACATGAGTAATGAAAAAGAGACCTACTGCCTGTGACATTCATTTGGTGGAAGAGTTCTGCTGCTTTGAGGTATTTGTAAAACTTAACCAGAGTAAATGTTATTTAGTTCAATTTGGGGGGATAAGGTAACTTAATTTTTTGTTTTGTTTTGTTTTTGAGATAGATCCTCACTCTGTCACCCAGGCTGGAGTCCAGGGGTGTGATCTCGGCTCACTGCAACCTCTGTCTCCCGGGTTCAAGTGATTCTCCTGCCTCAGCCTCCCAAGTCGCTGGGATTACAGGTGCCTGCCACCATGCCTGGCTAATTTTTGTATTTTTAGTAGAAATGGGGTTTCGCCATGTTGGCCAGGCTGGTCTCGAACTCCTGACCTCAGGTGATCCACCCACCTTGGCCTCCCAAAGTGCTGGGATTACAGGCATGAGCCATGGCACCCGGCCAACTTAATGTTTTATAATGTCTTATTTTCTTATTTAACCTCATTATTGGGATGTTGATTTACAGTGAAGAATCCATTGCATTAGTAAGGGTGATACCATAGTATTTTGCTTCCTGGGTGAACTAGCTTTGCTGATTTCTGTTTGTTAACTAGGCCTTTTGGTATTTTTGTAGACAATCTGCTTCATCTTGATTCTGCGGCATTCCAAACTGTGGTATCCTTGGGGGCTCTCTTAACATTGCTATGGTGCAGAAGATTTAAAATCAGGTATGGCTGTGGGGCCAGAAGTCCCTCAGTGAAATTCTCAACTTAAATCTGCCTTATACTCTCTGATTTATCATTTGGGTTTCTTTTTTTGTGGTGGCCTTTTAGCTGATGTTCACAAGGAATAGAGTCACGTGATGTATGAAGGGAAACATATACACTTCTCTGAGGTTGACAATAAGCCCTTGTGCTCATATAGCCCCAAACTGTGCAAGCAGAGGCGACTCAACGGCTACGCCTTCTGTATCAGACACGTTCTGGAGGACAAGACTGCCCCCTTCAAGCAATGTGAATATGTGGCCAAGTATAACAGCCAACGCTGCACCAACCCCATCCCCAAATCAGAGGATCGTAGGTAAGGGCTAATCATGAGACTCAATCCTTGATTTCATTAACAGGCTTGGAATTTTTTCTTTTCTTGTTTTTTCTTCTCTTTTCTCCTGTTCCTCATTTCTCCCTCCCTCCCTTCCTCCACTTATCTAAATATTGAATTCTGGGGGTAATCTAAGTAAACTATGGAATACTTTTAAAGATGACATATGGCAGTTTTTAAAAATAGAGTAATACATTTGGGGGATTACTTAAAATATGTTTGAGTGTCTTCTTTTTAATTGATTTCATGGACTTCTAGAATTTTTAAAAGATTTTTTTTTTCCCTCAAAGTTGCTGCTTGAAGTCTTAAAACGGATTTGTTTGGTTTGTGGCCTTATAAAGTAATTCCTGATTCTCTACCTAGTTTTCTCATTTGCCTAAATGAGAGAAATTTTAAGAACTAATTAGGTGTTGTAATTAATGATAGTAATTTTGGAGTTTAAAATCTATGCCTAGAAGTTAGTAAAGGATATATACTTAAAAACATTTTTTTAAACTACTTGGCTCATTTAGATTTATTTTCTATCAGACTTCTCACCAGTGTTTGGCATGTTTTATAACCTTACCTTTTTTGGTTAAAAAGTGTTCCAAATAGAGTATGTTTACCATAATTTGGAAACACTATTTTCACATTAAGGGTCTGTTTTGCCACTAGAATGATGAGTTTATGCTTTGCTGACTGGAATTGTGTTTAAAGGAGTCTTATACTGGTTATTCATCTTTCATATTGTTAGGAAAATTTACACTATCTTTCATATATAATCTCTTCTCCGTGCCTCTTTTTCTTCAGTTCTCCAGAAACTATATAGATCATTGCGGGACTTCATGGAGAGATACATGCTTGTTTCCCAAGTTTCAAGATACTTGTTATCTCTAGGTAGAAAATTTGAATCTTAAAACATACACACAACCTTCATCCATTTTTCTATACATTAGCAAATGTGACTTGCATAAATTGCTTGGACAGGAATCAGATATTTTATGTCATGAATACTTTTTATGCTTGCAGTATGAAATAAATAATTTGTGTTGGTGGAGATCTCACCAAAATGAGTACAAATAGTTTAATGGGGATTTAGGGAATACTCTTTTAGAATTTCTAATGAGCACTTAAGGCTTCAGATTACAATACCTGAAAGTTAGAAACAGCTGCTTAGTGGGGCAAGAAATAAAATTTTAATCTCAGGTGAGAAAGGGACCTGTGTATTAGGCTAAATATATCTATCTCGTTAGTTTTTAGCAGACTGAAAATGGTAATTTCTTACTGCTGCCTTTTTTAAACTTGAAGAATGAATGAGCTTGGATTAATTTTTTTTATATCAAGCCCCATTGTAAACACATTTCTAAAATTTTGTCTTAAAATCAGCTTATCATGGTTACAGTTGTCAGTGTTGGATTTATTTTCAGTTGAGCCAAAGCAGGAATTATCTTAATAGCAGCAAGCACTGAGTGTGATGGCTCACACCTGTAATCCCAGCACTTTTGGAGCTCAAGGCGGTGGATCGCTTGAGCTTAGGAGTTCAAGACCAGCCTGAGCAACATGACAAAACCCCATCTCTACAAAAAATACAAAAATTAGCCAGGTGTGGTGGTACATGCCTGGAATCCCAGCTACTTGGGAGGCTGAGATGGGAGGATTGATTTAGCCCAGGAGGTAGAGGCTGCAGTGAGCAGTAATTGTGCCCCTGTACTCCAGCTTGGGCAATTGAACAAGACCCCATATCCAAAAAAAAAAAAAAAAAGCGAGAATTCAAGTGAGAGTCCTTATGAATTTCTTCAAAATATTCTCTGACGCAACTGTATTCACCTTTGTCTTTGAAATAGTTTGCTCTTTTGAGAACAAGATAAGGGAAAGGACTTTCATGTTTCTATCTCAAGAGAAGCTGTGCTTAGTAAGTGCTAAGTTCTTTTTTTTTTGATGGCGTCTCACTCTGTTGCCCAGGCTGGAGTGCAGTGGTGTGATCTCGGCTCACTGCGAACTCTGCCTCCTGCGTTCAAGCAATTCTCCTGCACCAGCCTCCCCAGTAGCTGGGATTACAGGTGCACACTACCACGCCTGGCTAATTTTTGTATTTTTAGTAGAGATGAGGTTTCACCATGTTGGCCAGGATGGTCTTGAACTCCTGACCTCAAGTGATCCGCCCACTTCTGCCTGCCAAAGTGATGGGATTACAGGCATGAGCCACTTCGCCCAGCCGTAAGTACTAAGTTATAAATTTGTCTTTCTTTTCTTTTTTTTCTTTGAGATGGGGTCTCATTCTGCTGCCCAGGCTGGAGTGCAGTGGCATGATTGTAGCTCACTACAGCCTTGAACTTCGGGCTTCGAATGATCCTCTTGCCTCAGTCTCCCGAGTAGCTAGGACTACAGGCACAAGCCACGTGGCCAGCTGAGTTTTGAAAAATTTTTGTGGAGATGGAGCCTTACTAGGTTGCCTAGGCTTCTTTCGAACTCCTGGCTTCAAGCAATCCCCCTGATTTGGCCTCCCAAAGTGTTGGGATTATAGACATGAGCCACCATGTCAGGCCAAATTTATTCTTTATTAAATTTTTTCCTGTTCTTGGAAAACTTTTTGGTTAGTGCAATTATCCCAGCTGCCTCTTTCTTTGCTGGCCATTGCTTTGTGAATCTGTTCTGTTTTAAGATATGTATGGGACCTACCTCAAACCTGCTAGGGAAGCACATGTGTGCGTGCGCGCACACACACAGTGTAGATTCTCTTTGCTGGCTAGAAATCTTTTTCTCTTTTTCAGTGACTGCACATGACAAAGAAAGCTTTTTCTTAAGAGGCCTGTCTTAAAGAGTGCCTCTGATAGATGTATTTCTAAGACGAAGCAACAAAATACACATATTTTGTGTGTATGTGAGATTTTCTGACTATTTGGTGAATCTGTATTTTTAGCAATTACTAAAAAAACATTTTTATGATGAAGCCCAGTGAATTTGAGGATTGACATTTTTTACTTTAGTGGTCTTTTCCCAAACTGTGTTTGTAGAGCTATCACCTATATGCTACAATAAAAATAGGTTCTCTTTTGTTTTTGTTTTTGTTTTTTGAGGCTGAGTTTCACTCTGTTGCCCAGGCTGGAGTGCAGTGGCACAGTCTCAGCTCACTGCAGCCTCCACCTCATGGGTTCAAGGGATTTTCCTGCCTCAGCCTCACAAGTAGCTGGAATTACAGGTTCCCGCCACCACACCCCACTAATTTTTGTATTTTTAGTAGAGATGGTGTTTCGTCACGTTGGCCAGGCTGGTCTCAAACTACTGACCTCAAGTGATCCACCCGCCTCGGCCTCCCAAAGTGCTGGGATTATAGGCATGAGCCACCTTGCCCGGCCTGTTTCTTTTCCTTTCTTATCCTTTCTTTTTTTTTTTAACTGAGACAGGGTCTTGCTGTGTTGCTCAGGCCAATCTTGAACTCCTGGCCTCAAGGGATCCTCTTGCCTTGGCCTCCCAAAGTGCTGGGATTACAGACATGAGCCACCGCGTTTGGCCCTGGGTTTCATTTTCAAATAGCTTTGGGAAACACTACCAGATGGGTACATTTTCCTCTTGGATCTTCATAATGTACGATGTACAAAGTGCTTTGAGTAGTTGCACATCAGTAACAAAAAACAAAATCCTTCTTTAATTTTGTTTAAGCCAGCATTTTCCAAATTTATGTAAGCATGGAGTGGTGGGTTTTTTTTGTTTGTTTGTTTTTGAGACAGAGTCTTACTCTGTCTCCCAGGCTGGAATGCAGTGGTGCAGTCTCAGCTCACTGCAACCTCTGCCCCTGGGTTCAAGCGATTCTTGTGCCTGAGTCTCCCGAGTAGCTGGGATTACAGGCATCTACCATCATATCTGGCTGATTTTTGTATTTTTAGTAGAGATGGGGTTTCGCCGTGTTGGCCAAACTGGTCTCGAGCTCCTGGCCTCAGGTGATCCACTTGCCTTGGCCTCCCAAAGTGCTGGGATTACAGGTGTCAGTCACTGCACCTGGCCCTTTTATAGGTTTTAAAAATAGCATGAAGAGTATGAAGACCACAATAAATACCTACCTTTTCAATATCCACACAGATGAAAATTCACAAGCATCAAGACCATCCAGGAAAACATGATATCAACAAATGAAATAAATAAGGCACCAAGGACCAATTCTGGAAAAACAGAGATATGTGATCTCTCAGACAGAGAATTTGAAATAGCAGTTTTGAACTTAATTTTGCTCATTTTTTTTTTTTTTTTTAAAGTTTCCACAGGAAAAGTCCATGTCAAGATGGCATCACTGGTGAATTCTCTCAAGCGTTTTAAAAAATTATTTTTATTTTATTTTTCCATAAGTTACTGAGGTACAGGTGGTATTTGGTTACATGAATAAGTTCTTTAGTGGTGATTTGTGAGATTCTGGTGCACCAATCACCCAAACAATATACTTGCTCGTTGTTGAAGACTAATGAGAGTCTTCATGAACTTTGATTTTAGTTGGTCTTAGCTCTGACTCTTTCCAGCTGGAAAGAGTCTCAGACAAGTTAATCAATTTCTATAAAGCTTAGTTTCCTCGTGTGCATTAAGGGCATTATTTTAGTGCCTACAGCAGGTAGATACTACAGGAGATAATTCGTGTACTTACATCTGGCTACTGAAAAAGACATTTCACCTATAACCCCATGAGTCATCTTTTACTTTCTTGTTTCATTCTCTCTTTCCTTCTGTCTCTTTCTCTCTCTCTGTATATATGTGTTTAAAGCACAGTAGACACTTGACATTCTTGAGGGTTTTATGTCATGAGAGCTTTGTGAATCTCCAAATACCTTAATGGCCTTAGAAAATATATATATTTTTCTCAATAAGAGAATTTTAAGTGATGTTTTAGACTCTTGATGAGTTACTTTGTATGCTATGAATAGAGAATAACAAAGCCATGTGAAAAGCAATAGCTGAGCAGTTATCCAGGGCCACTCAGTCACTGAATGACTTGCTTCTGTCTGGCCACCCCTGTGCATGTACAGTTCACATATTTGCCTCATCAAAATTACACTGACTTTGAGGATTGCTTGAAAGTAGTAGAGGTTTGCATGTTAAATCGCTGGCTGCCAAGAGTCACTATAGTGATGCAGTTTGTAACGTATTAGGATTCGTATGTAGTTTTATGTTCTACTTTAAAAAATATGTATCATGAATATTTTCCCATGTATGTGTGTATTTTAAAGGTACTGCAACAGCCACCTGCAGGTACTTGGCTTTATCCCGAAAAAAGAGAGGAAGAAAAAGAATGATCCTATAGATGAGGTGAAGGTCAGGCACCAGATGGATACCATGGCCTTTAGCCTGACAGTGCCCACGTTGGCCTTGAAGATGCCCAACGGACTGGATGGAATGTCCCTCTCTCCACCTGGGGCAAGGGTCCCTCTCCACTACCTGGAAACTGAGTTGGAAGACCCATTTGCTTTCAACGAGGAAGATGATGACCTAAAGAAAGGGGCAACTGTGAGAAAGAAGTTGCAGAGCAAGTTGGCCCAGAATCGGCAGCGCCAGAGAGAGACAGAGATTTTAAAAGTTCGACAAGAGCACTTTAGTCCCCCTCCTGCACCTTCACAGCAGCAGCCTCCGCAGCAGCACTCCCACCTGTCACCTTTATCCACTTCTTTAAAACCTCCAGCGCCACCGCAGGGTTCAGTCTGCAAGTCACCTCAACCTCAGAACACCAGCCTACCAATGCAGGGAGTGGCACCCACCACACACACTATAGCACAAGCACGGCAGTTGTCTCACAAGAGGCCTCTGCCCCTCCTGCCATCCAGTAGGGCTCCCACTGTGGACCCACCCAGGACTGACCGGATCCTCATGAAAGCCACAGCCTTCTCTCCACACTTCTCATGTATAAGCCGACTGCAGAGACTGGTGAAACTGTGCACCCAGAAACATCAGTTGGACACTGATCTGTTTCCCCATTTAGGTGAGTTATCTATTTTATCGTATCATAGATACATAATATGACAGAATGTGTTCTGTTGTGTGGAGCTTCCCTTTCATAATCACCCCATATGTGATGGGGGTGGAATCACAATGGGGCAGAGCGGTGCAATGAAAGATTCTGTATTTAGGTAGACCACCTTAAAATAAACACAGTCATCCCTCTACATGTGTGGTGGATTGGTTCCTGGACTTCCCTCAGGTACCAAAATTTGAGGATGCTCAAGTTCCTGATATAAAACAGCATAGTATTTGCACATAACCTATGCACATCCTCCCATATTCTTTAAATCATCTCTAGATTATTTATAATACCTAATATAATGTAAATGCTTTGTTATACTGTATTGTTTAGGGAATAATGACAAGAAAAAAAGTCTGTATATGTTCAGTACAAATGTAATCTTTTTTCTCAAATATTTCTGATCAGCGATTGGCTGAAACCAGAAATGTGGATCCCGTGGATACAGAGGGCCAACACTGGAGGGCGTAATACTTGCTGAACAGGATACAGAAATAGGAGTTGGGAATTTAGAATTCCACACATAGCTTTTATTTGTAGTGATAGGAGCATTAAAAGACAGTTGTGTTTGGTTGTATGCTTTTATGAGTTTAGCACCTGTGCATCCAATGAAGTTCTCTGTGTGTCTTATTCTAGGAATGATCATAGCATTGTTGATATCTGCTGACAGTTTTAAAACATTTTTTCCTGTTTAAAAAATTCGCAAGGCAGTACCTGTTAATGATTTAAAAGTGAGAAAATACAGGGAAAACTTGTAATTTAATGTAGTCACATGTCTGTTTTTCTTTTGTTGCTTCTGAATTTCCTGTCTTGCTGAAGAAAACTTCCTCGATTCCAAGTTTATACAGATATTCTATGTTTTCTATTAATAGTTGGATTGGTTTTTATCATTTAAACCTTTAATTCAGTTGAAATTTATTCTCAAATGCAATATGAGCTATGATTTTCACTTCAGGAAAAATTATTTGCATAATGTGACAGCAATAGAAATATGAGCAAAGATAGAACATGAAGAGATGTGAATAGTCAGTAAACAAATGAATACCTCAATCCTCTCAGCAGGCAGGAAATACAAATTAAAGCGACAATGAATTACCAGATTGGCAAAAATGATATCCATTGTTGGTCAGGGTCAGGATATGGTATCTCGTACATTGCTGGTGAGTAATTTAGCAATATCTACTAATTTAAAATGTATGTATAGGCTGGGCTTAGTGGCTCATGCCTGTAATCCCAGCACTTTGGGAGGCTGAGGTGGGCAGATCACCTGAGGTCAGGAATTTGAGACCAGTCTGGCCAACATGGTGAAACCCTGTCTCTACTAAAAGTGCAAAAAAATAGCCAGGTGTGGTGGTGCGCACCTGAAGTCCCAGCTACTTGAGAGGCTGAGGTGGGAGAATTGCTTGAACCCAGGAGGTGAAGGCTGCAGTGAGTCGAGATTGCGCCACTGCACTCCAGCCTGGGTGACAGAGTGAGACCCTGTCTCAAACAAACAAACAAACAAACAAAATATATTTGTAGCCAGTGGACTCACTTTTGGGGCACTATCCTGTGGATTAAAAAAATCAAAATGTAAGGATGTATGTGCAAGGATGTTCACTGAAACATTGTTCGCAGCATTAAAAACCTGCAAAGCAACAATTATTGATAGGAAACCTTGACTAAACTATGGTTCATATGTGTTTTATGAAATATTATGTAGCAGACTGGGTGCAATGGCTCATACCTGTAATCTTAGCACTTTGGGAGGCCGAGGTGGGAGGATCACTTGAGTTCGGAAGTTCAAGATCAATCTGGGTGACACAGTAAGACCTCATCTCATTATATAAAAAAAAGAAAAAGAAAAGAAAAGAAAGAAATATTATACAGCTATTAAAAAGAATGAATGAGGCCGGGCGTGGTGGCTCACGCCTGTAATCCCAGCACTTTGAGAGGCTGAGGCCGGTGAATCACCTGAGGTCAGGAGTTCGAGACCAGCCTGGCCAATATGGCAACACCCTATCTCTACTAAAAATACAAAAATTAGCCTGGTGCATGGTGGTGTGTGCCTGTAATCCCAGCTACTTGGGAGGCTGAGGCAGGAAAATTGCTTGAACCCAGGAAGTGGAGGTTGCAGTGAGCCGAGATTGTGCCATTGCACTCCAGCATGGGCAACAAGAGCGAAACTCCATCTCAAAAAAAAAAAAGGAAAACGATATCTATATCTTTTGACCGGGATGTGTCCATGGTATGTTAAAAAGTAGAAAAAAAAAATCAAGAGGTAATTATTATCCCATTTTGGTAAACATAAACAAAGTAAATAAACAGGGGATATCAGTATATTTATTGATTAAGTATATGACTGTTTGCCTGATTGGTGTGAGCAAAGGTAAAAGTATAAAAGGATATATATTTCCAGGCTGTTAACATCAGCTACCCTAGGGAGGATGGAATTGGACAGGGTGTATTTTATAGGAGATGGGAGTGGTGACTTTTCTTACAGCTTTTTGTTGTTTAACCATCTGTGACTTTTTGTGATTAAAATACAAAAGTTAAAAAATTTATAAACAAAAATAATAAAACTCTCCAAGCCATATTAATACCCATTTGTTAATACCTTGATATATTCTTTCCAATATATAAAATTGGGTTCTTACTATACATGCTGTTTCGTAACCTGTTTTAAAATTTTTCATACTAATGTATTTTCAAGTTGGTAATTTTTAATATACAGTGTAATTTATCATGACTGAATTCTGTCTTCCATTTAAGTTGTATCCAGTTTATGTCCTTGTAAACTGTCGTAGATGTATATAGCCTTAAAGTAAAACAATTATTGCCACATCTTTAATTTTTTTCTTCAAATAGATTGTTAATTCAGCCTAAAAGTGGAATTGCTGATTCAAAGCTTTAGCTTTTAAAAAAAACAAAAAAAGTTTTGATATATGTTGCCAAATTTTTCTTCAGAATTATTTTGTCAGCTTATCTTCTTTAAGCAGTGTGTGAAAAAACCAGTTTCTCTAAATCTTTTATCAGCCCTGGGTAGTATTATTATGTTATTATTGCCTTTGCAAATTAGATAGAAAATCTGCTTAAATTTACATATCTTAGTGTTTCTCAAATATTTGGTTTTAGGATCCTTTTCACTTAAAAATTAATAAGGACACCATAAAGCTCTTGTATATGGGTTGTATCTATTTATACTGTATTAGAAGCTAAAACTGAGAAATTTAAAATATAATTTTTTTTTTTGAGACAGGGTCTTGCTGTGTTGTCCAGGCTGGAGTGCAGTGGCACGATCATGGCTTACTGCTGCCTTGACCTACTGGGCTCAAGCGATCCCCTGACCTCAGCTTCCCAAGTCACTGGGACCACAGGCACATACCACTACAACTGGCTAACTTTTTTTCAAATTTTTGATAGCGATGGGGTCTTACTATGTTGCCCAGGCTGCTCCTCCTGTCGTGGCCTCCCAAAGTGCTGGTGGGATTACACGCATAAGTCACCGTGCCTGGCCTGTCAGATTCTCTTTCAAATAAAGATGATGATGAAGGCTGGGTGTGGTGGCTCACGCCTGTAATTCCAATACTTTGGGAGGCTGAGGTGGGCAGATCATTAGATCAGGAGTTCAAGTCCAGCCTGGCCAACATGGTGACACCCCATCTCTACTAAAAATAGCCAGGCATGGTGGAGCGTGCCTGTAATCCCAACGACTCGGGAGGCTGAGGCAGGAGAATTGCTTGAACTGGGACCCGGAAAGCAGAGGTTGCAGTGAGCCAAGATCGCACCTCTGTACTCCAGCCTGGGCTACAGAGTGAGACTCCATCTCAAAAAAGAAAAAATGATGATGAATGAGAAAAAGCAGTTTGGTCAGGTTGCAATGAAAACAGTTGTGCAAGTCCTCTTCCTCAGGACAGCTGTCGCTGTCATACTTTCTTCCTCTGCAGCAGATTCACATTTACACACACAGAATAGTATCAAGACATATGCTCGGGGGCTGATTTAATAAAAATAAATAATCTTTAATGAACAAGAATATTCTCAAATAAAAATCTTTTACAACTGTGAGGTGTGGTATCAGGAATACTGTGACTCCTAGTAAGTCTGATGCCACTGCCTTGATTCATGGTAATTAAGGAGCCTGTAGTTTTACCCATCATTGCTTTTATACCATCCGTGTAAGTGTCAACACAGTGAAAAAGGCAAATAATGTCTTTTTTTTTTTTTTTTTTTTTTTTGAGACGGAGTCTCGCTCTGTAGCCCAGGCTGGAGTGCAGTGGCCGGATCTCAGCTCACTGCAAGCTCCGCCTCCCGGGTTCACGCCATTCTCCGGCCTCAGCCTCCCGAGTAGCTGGGACTACAGGCGCCTGCCACCTCGCCCGGCTAGTTTTTTTTTGTATTTCTTAGTAGAGACGGGGTTTCACCGTGTTAGCCAGGATGGTCTCGATCTCCTGACCTCGTGATCCGCCCGTCTCGGCCTCCCAAAGTGCTGGGATTACAGGCTTGAGCCACCGCGCCCGGCCCAAATAATGTCTTAATATTATTTTGTTGAAAATAGTTTTGAGGCCAGGTGAGGTGGCTCATGCCAATAATCTTAGCACTTTGGGGAGGCCAAGACAGGAGGATCACTTAAGCCCAGGAGTTCGGGACCAGCCTGGGAAACATAGTGAGATTCTTTCTCTTTTTTAAAATTTAAATTAAAAAAAAACTTTTTAGAAAGAAAATAGTGTTGACCTATATAGTCCAAGAATATTTCAAGGACTTCTGGTGATCTGTGGACCATACTTTCAGAACTACTATTTTGGATTAATAATACAGTTGAGTATTTGTTCATATGATTTTTGGACATTTTGTTTATTTTGACTTTCACTTCTTCCATCCATATATTTATTTTCTATTGATTGGTAAGAGCTTTTTGTACGTATATTATATTTGTTGGAAAGTCTCTCCCTCGTCTCCTTTGTTTTTTGCTCCAGGGTATCTGTTATAGCCAGGCACAGTTGCAAACTTGTAATCTCTGCTACTTGGGAGGCTGAGGCGGAAGAAGCCCTTAAGTCCAAGAGCTTATGGCTGGCAGTGAGCTATAATCATGCCACTGTGACAGAGCTGAGACCCCTGTCTCTTAAAAAGAAAAGAAAAGAAAAGAAATATCCATTGTAGGGATTTAAAAGTTAAAATTTTAATGTATTCTCTTCTTTAAGATTTCTTTCTTTTGAGGCTGGGTTTTGATTTGCTTGCTGCCTTGTTTGGATTCTCTTCATCCCAAAAATGTGTAAACCTTTTCACCCATATTTTCTTTTAGTCCTTTTATCATTTCATTATTTGCATTTTAGCTATCTAGCTGGAACATTTAGACATTAGTTTTGAGGCAGAGATCTAACAATTTTTTTAAAAGTTTGCCTCTAATTCCAACACTTACCGGCATCATCTACTAAATTTTTATTTATAATTTCATTTATTTCTGGATGCTGATAAATTTTTTAGCTTTTGAAATGATGAAATTTTATGTCATCTTAGGAGCTGATTTGTAAATTTTTTTTTTTTTTTTTTTGAGACGGAGTCCTGCTCTGACACCCAGTCTGTAGTGCAATGGTGAGGTCTCGGCTCACTGCAACCTCTGCCTCCCGGATTCAAGCGATTCTCCTGCCTCAGCCTTCTCAGTAGCTGGGACTACAGGCGCATGCCACCACATCCAGCTAATCTTTTGCATTTTTAGTAGAGACAGAGTTTCACTATATTGGTCAGGCTGGTCTTGAGCCCCTGATCTTGTGATCTGCCTGTCTCTGCTTCCCAAAGTGCTGGGATTACAGGCATGCGCCACTGTGCCCAGCAATTTTTAAATCATTTTTAAACAGAATGAAAACATACAGAAAAAGTTTTCAGTCTTTTACATTTTTTTTTTCTTTCTTTTTTTGAGATGGAGTCTCGCTGTGTTGCCCAAGCTGGAGTGCTGTGGCACGATCTCAGCTCATTGCAGCCTCTGCCTCCCAGGTTCAAGTGATTCTCTTTCCTCAGCCTCCTGAATAGCTAGGATTACAGGTGCACGCCACTACGCCTGGCTAATTTTTTATATTTTTAATAGAGATGGGGTTTCACTGTGTTGGCCAGGCTGGTCTTGAACTCTTGATCTCAGGTGATCCACCCGCCTCGGCCTCCCACAGTGCTGGGATTACAGGCGTGAGCCCCTATGCCCGGACGCCCTTTTAAATTTTTAAAAATGCAAACATATTAGAGGGCCTAAGATTTCAAAGCAAAGGTTATTTTGGGGAAACCAGAAATAGTAATGCATATACTCTATAACTTTATGACAAAGTATAGTCTGTATTCATGTCAGCAAAGAGTACTTAAATAAAAACTCAGTCTTATTAGTAGCTTTTATAGTCCTGTCTGGGCTAGTTATATGAGTTAGTTACATTAAAACTAGTGATAATGAAGCCAAGATCAAAGGTTTGCTTTATTGGACAGTTAGTTTCACAGCAGGAAAAACACTTCCATCTTAGTTTTTATGACTTAGATCTTGACTTCTTCAGAGAAAGTATAGGTGTCTTAGTAGAAATTATTCTATTGAAACAAATAAAAGATAACTCATGTTCTGTTTTTTACTGGTACCTTAAATGCCACTTTGAAGAACTTTACCTTTCAACACACTGAAGTTGATGCTGTTGTGATCATTTAATTGCTTTTTTACCTTTTCCCCCTACAAATTATTAATTATTTCAGTTGAGAGAAAGTAACTCATTTTTAAAAGTGACCTGACATTTTAGGTAGTCATCTTAGAATTAGATTTGAAGTTTCTTTATGCCAATTGCAATGTGTTATTTAATCTCAAGCATTTATAATTTGCATTTTAATTAACCTTTTCTTAATTTCCCTATTTGGCACATGTAAACTCATTTAAACTGTGGAAGCAATCTGTGAAGTCCTTTTTAATGTAACCGTCTAATGAGGATACTCTTAATTTTTGAGGTTCTCAAGAAGGAAGACATAAATAAAATACTAGTTATCAAGGTATCCAGTAAGTTTCATAGAGGTATGAATATGTTAAACTTACATAGTCCCACATACTGTTACACTTTAGGCTGTGCAACATCAGTCTTTATTAAGACCTCTTCAAGATATAAAACTTCTTTTTTTTTTTTTTTTTAAACTTTTAGAGACAGGGCCTTGCTCTATCACCAGGCTGAAATGCAGTGGCATGATCATGGCTCACTGCAGCCTCAACCTCCTGGGCTCAAGGGCCAATTGATCCTCCTGCCTCAGTCTCCTGAATAGTTGGGACTGCAGTCATGCACCACTCAGCCTGGCTAATTTTTAAGTTTGTTGTAGAGTCGGGGTCTTGCTGTGTTACCCAGGCTGGTCTCTAACTCCTTGCCTGAAATGATCCTCCTGGCTCAGCATCCCAAACTGCTGGGATTACAAGCATGAGCCAGTACACCTGGCCAAGACACAAGACTTTTAAAAGGGTAAAACTTTTATGTCAGGAGCTAAAAATTATTCAGTCATTAAAAATTATAGCATTTGGCTGGGCACAGTGGCTCATGCATGTAATTGCGGGACGTTGGGAGGCTAAGGCAGGTAGATCACTTGAGCTCAGGAGTTCGAGAGCAGCCTAGTCAACATGGCAAAACCCTGTCTCTACAAAAAGTACAAAGATTAGTTGGCCATGGTAGTGCTGCCTGTAGTGCCAGCTACTCTGGAGGCTGAGGTGGGAGGATCACTTGAGCCCAGGTGGTCAAGGCTGTAGTGAGCTGAGATTGCACCAGTATGCTCCAGCCTGGGCAACAGAGTGAGACCCTTTAACAAAATATTAGTATACACTATGTTTATCCACTTTTCCTTCTAACCTTGTTTTACGTAACGGAGCACAAAGTCTGACATTTTTTGTTTAAAATAATTGAAAGAAATCCCAAACCTCATTAGTAATAGAACATTACCATCCCACCCTTCCATCTTCCCATGGAAGGTAAGAACCAGGGAATGGTTTGGGAGAGGAGGTTGGAGTGTTTCTGCCTTTGAAACTTTATCATAGGGCCCTTCTTGGTTGAAATGTAGAGTGACTCCATCTGTCCTTTTTGACGTTTTTCTTTTTGTTGTTGTTTCATAAAACCTTTCAGAAGCAGGTATTAACCTTTTTCTTGCCTGAACGTATATTGAGCTGCTTTTCTCACCCTCTTGTTTGTATTTTATGTTTTTCTGACATCATTTTAGTGTATGAAGTTTTGATACTTAAAGAAATTTTGGCCGGACGCGGTGGCTCACGCCTGTAATCCCAGCACTTTGGGAGGCCAAGGCGGGTAGATCACTTAAGGTCAGGAGTTTGAGACCAGCCTGGCCAACATGGTGAAACCCCGTCTCTACTGAAAATACAAAAATTAGCCAGGTGTGGTGGTACTCACCTGTAATACCAGCTACTTGGGAGGCTGAGGCAAGAGAATCGCTTGAACCTGGGAGGCCGAGGTTGCAGTGAGCTGAGATCACTCCACTGTACTCCAGCCTAAGTGACAGAGCAAGATCCCATCTCAAAAAAAAAAAAAGAAATTCTACCTTTTTGTGACCTGAACTCTCTCTTTGCTTGTGTTGTTTCTACCCTATTAGTGAAGTGTCTGACAAAAGAAGTTCATCTGTGGAATACAGCTTAACCTTTTTGTTGTAATGTCATTTAAAAAACCCGATTGTGTGGCTGGGCACGGTGGCTCATGCCTGTAATCCCAGCACTTTGGGAGGCCGGGGTGGGTAGATCACGAGGTCAGGAGTTCGAGACCAGCCTGGCCAATATGGTGAAACCGTGTCTCTACTAAAAATACAAAAATTAGCTGGGCGTGGTGGTGCACACCTGTAGTCCTGGCCACTCGGGAGGCTGAGGCAGGAGAATCGCTGAACCCGGGAGGCAGAGGTTGCAGTGAGCCAAGATCGTGCCACTGCACTCCAGCCTGGGCAACAGAGTGAGACTCCATCAAAAACAAAACCAAAAACAAATCGATTATCTTTGTATGAACAGAAATGAAATTCATCAGGAGGCATTTATTCACATCACGATAGTACTTGCGATAGGTGTGTTGGGTTATGTTATTTTGTGTAGCTTTTTAATTCAAATTTTGAATAAAAGTAAATGTTTTCTAATTTGCAATGCAATATCTCCTGTCTACCCCAGGTTTGGACTGGTCTGAAGAGAGCGGAGAGGAACCAGAGGACTCAGAGCAGGCCTCGCCCTACCAGGTTGCATGGTCCATCCGGGAAACCCTCAGATATCAAAGACATGCGTAAGTCTTCTGTTCTGTTTTTATTCTTTTTTTTTGAGATGGGGTCTCGCTCTGTCACCCAGGCTGGAGTGTAGTGGTGTGATCTTGGCTTACTGCCACCTCTGCCTCCTGGGTTCAAGCAATTCTCCTTCATCAGCCTCCCGAGTAGCTGGGATTATAGGCGCCCGCTACCACTCCTGACTAATTTGTTTGTATTTTTAGTAGAGACGGGGTTTCACCATGTTGGCCAGGCTGGTTTCAAACTCCTGACCTCAAGTGATCTCTCTGCCTAGGCCTCCCAAAGTGCTAGGATTACAGGCATGAGCTACTACGCCCGGCCCTATTTTCCTTCTTGAATGACCGCTGTAGCAGATTGATATTTCTCGCTATATGTGCTGATACTTTTATGTTATTAGATCTAGTTTTATTATAAAATAAAGGTAAAAAAAAGTTGGAAGTAAAATAGATTTCACTCTAAGAAATTGGAAGTAAAATAGATTCCACTTGGGAGGAAATGTACTATATTGTTTGAGCAAAGCTACTCTTAAATTTTCTTGGTAAATTTGTTTCTGTACCTTTCCCGCTCATCATTAAAGGAATTAATTATAATAGAACCTATAATTGAAAAGAACCTTAGAGATTAATTGATCCAATTTCCTCATTTTACAGAAGAGGAAAGCAAGGCCCACATAGGTTGAGGAACTTGCACGTGGTCTCTTGGAGGGCTACGTGGAGTCCCACTGTCTTGCCTCTCTGTATCTTCCTTGGCTATATCTCCACAGTAGTAGAAATAGTGCTTTTTTACTTCACTTCTATCTTCTGCAACATTGATACATTCTTTATTTCTACTGTGCTACAATGTTTTTTTTTTTTTTAGGATAAATCTCCTGAGGGGTTTTCTTTGTACCTTCCTTATTGGAAAGCTGTTTGGGTATACTGACAGCTGTCTTCGTTTTTTTTCCCCATGTTATGTCTTCGGAAAAGAAGCATTTGTCTAAGATCTGTAGAAGTTGAATGCACATCCCCTTCAATGATAGTAAGAAAACCAATTTTTTTAGGAGACTGCTTTTAGCATTCTACAGATTCACTTGGTGCAGTTTGACAATACCAAGATAGATCCTTGTCTGTGGGGCCAAAATATGACTCACTCACTTAGCTAACTATTTATTTAAAATGTTGTGGTTTGAATATTCAGCAATGTAGAGGGATACCAGCTATCTGTGATGGTTTTTGAATTTATAGGATTAAAAATATGATTTGTTAGTACACCTAGATGTGATTAGGCTTAGGGAACTGATTGACTAGAGACTAATCTGTACACTAAAATGCCAGCTTAGCTGAGAAATATAATCATCAAGTAGTACAAATGGTCACTGAACAAAACTGCACAGGAAGCAAATTATCAGAAGCTTATTTGGATATGGAATTAGAGCAAGTAGGGTTAGTTGGATTTTAGTAATGGTCAGTGTCTTAAATTATAATAACATGATGCATCTATTCCACTTTTAGGATTTATCTCCCACCTAGTTGTTCCTGCCTTACTTACTCCCTAGATAGTATTGGAGAATGTTACACCTTTTTTTTCTTACGTACGCTGAGGTTCCATTTTATGTGTCATTCAAGACTGTTTCCTTACCATTAGCAGGTTCTTTCAGATACAGCACAACAGAGTCAATTGAGCTTAAGCTTTTCAGTTACAGATACCATCAGTCATACTTCCTAATGGTAATTCGTATCAACTTAATTTGACTTGTGATGTTTTGGGTTAATTTTACAAATCCAGCAAAAACCTGTTACATGGGAAATTATTAATAAATGGTAGTTATCATTCTTAATTTAATTTTTAAGGTAACCTTGACATCAGTATAGGCAGTATATGCTACTGCTTGGGAACAATGTATATTCTATTCTGCCTTCTATTCTTGCAGAGTTTTCAAATACTTCTTTTGTTGTTTTAGATTTGTGGCCATCCTCATTTTTCTTTATCTCTGTAGCATGTTACTTTCTTGGCCACTTTCATAACTTGCTTCCTCTTTGATTACTATGATACTCTGCTCTCCTGGTTCTTTTCCTTTACTCTGTTTTCCTCCCTTTTTTTTTTTTTTTAAACAGATACTTATCCTTACTTCGTGCCCAGCTGTTGTTTTCATCTTTTCCCCTTCATTCTTTTCCTTCACTCAGTCATTCATTTTTCATTCATTTGTTCATTTACTTATTCAGCACATTCTTATTGGGCTCTTATTATGCTCCAGTCATGGAGCACTCTATATTTTTAATGTTGGGCAAACATGTTGGTTTACCCACGCGTCTATTCCTGTAACTCCACATTTGTATCCGCCACTCTGCTCTCTAAGAGGAATCTCTGTCCTGTATTTTAATTAATGAATTAATTCATTCATTTGTTTTTTGAGATGGGAGTCTTGCTCTGTTGCCCAGGGTAGAGTGCAGTGGCATGATCATAGCTCACTGCAGTCTTGAACTCCAAGGCTCAAACGATCCTCCCCCTACAGCCTCCCGAGTGGCTGGAACTACAGGTGTGCACCACCACAGTTGGCTAATTTTTAAATTTTTTGTAGAGATGGGGTCCTGTTATGTTACCCAAGTTGGTCTTGAACTTCTGGTCTCAAGGGATCCTCCTGCCTTAGCCTCCCAAAGTGCCGGGATTATAGGCATGAGCCAACATGCCTGACCTGACCTGTATTTTAAACTTCTGTCTTTATTCCAATTTCTTGTTGCAGCTACCTGTCATTTGTTGTACCTTGCTGTGTTTAAGTGTAGTAGAAAATGGAGAGCTGTAGAAAATTGGCCCTACCTGGCTGAGCGCAGTGGCTCATGCCTGTAATCCCAGCACTTTGGGAGGCCGAGGTAGGTGGATCATGAGGTCAGGAGTTCGAGACCAGCCTGACCAACATGGTGGAACCCCATCTCTACTAAAAATACAAAAATTAGTCGGGTATGGTGGTGCACGCCTTAATCCCAGCTACTCAGGAGGCTGAGGCAGGAGAATTGCTTGAACCCGGGAGGCGGAGGTTGCAGTGAGCCGAGATTGCGCCACTGCACTCCAGCCTGGGTGACAGAGCTAGACTCCATCTCAAAAAAAAAAAAGGAAAATTGGCCCTACCTATGCTGTTCATTATATCTTCAAGAGGGTGTTGCCATTCCAAATGCCTCAATTAGTTCATTGAGTTTTTGAAAGAAAAACTGCCAGTGGTCTGGCCACCAAGTTTGTGCCTAAAGAACCTTTTTGTGAGTTTTTTGCTAATGCAGGATTGTACCATAAGGAATTTGTTTGTTTGTTTGTCTTGAGTCAGGGTCTTACCCTATCACCCAGGCTGGAGTGTAGTGGTGAGATCATAGCTCACTGCAGCCTTGACTCTCTGGACTCAAGTGATCCTCCTGCCTCAGCCTCCTGAGTAGCTGGGACGACAGGTGCAGGCTACCATTTTAAAATTTTTGTGGAGATAGGGTCTTACTATGTTGCCAAGGCTGGTCTCAAACTCCTTGCCTCAAGGAGTCCTCCTGCGTTGACCTTCCAAAGTATTGGGAGTACAGGCATGAGCTGCTGTATCCAGCCCTAAAGGATTTTTTTTTTTTTTTTGAGATGGAGTCTCGCTTTGTCATCCATGCTGGAGTGCAATGGCACGATCTCAGCTCATGGCAGCTTCCACCCCCCAAGTTCAAGTGATTCTCCTGCCTCAGCCTCCCAAGTAGCTGGGATTATAGGCACCCGCCACCACGCGTGGCTAATTTTTGTGTTTTTAGTAGAGACGGGGTTTCGCCTTGTTGGCCAAGCTGGTCTCAAACTCCTGACCTCAGGTGATCCACCTGCTTCGGCCTCCCAAAGTGCTAGGATTACAGACGTGAGCCACCTTTTAACTTGCTTTTCCTTTCTTTGATTCTCTTTATTGTTGTTTTTAATTTCATTGCTTTGTATTCTAATTACTATTATTTCCTTCTGCTTGTTTTGAGTTTAATTTGCTTGTCTTTTTGTAGTTTTTAAGGTGACAGCTTAAAACAGTTGACTGAGATCTTGATTGTTTTCTAATATTGACTCTTCATGTTATACACTTCCCTGTAAACACTGGTTGGAGCTGTGTCCCACAAATTTTAATAAGACATTTTCATTTTTACTCAGTTAAAAATGCTTTTTTTTTGAGACAAGGTTTCACTCTGTCACCCAGGCTGGAGTGCAGTGGCATGATTACGGCTCACTGCAGCCTTGACCTCCTGGCTTAAGAGATCCTCCCATGCCAGCCTCTTGAGTGACTGAGACACCTGGCTAATTTTAATTTTTTATTTTCTTGTGAAGATGGGGTCCCAAACTCCTGGGCTCAAGTGATCCTCCCGCCTTGGCCTCCCAAAGTGCCAGGATTACAGACATGAGCCACTGTGCCCAGCCCCAAAATGCTTTGTAAATATCCCTTTTGATTTGTTGTTTGATCCATGGGCTATTTAGAAATGATATTTAGTTTTTGAGTATTTTGGGGTTTCCCAGATACTGATTTCTAGTTTAATTCTGTGATCAGAAACCACATTTGAATATAGTATTCTATAAATGTAAATTAGGTCAAGTTGGTTAATAGTGTTCATGTCTTCTACATCTGTGGTGATGTTTGTCAAGTCATTATATCATTACTGAGAAAAGGATCTTGAAATCTCTCTTTGTGAATTTGATTATTTCTCCTTTTGAGCCTGTCATTGTTTATTTCCCATATTTTGTATTTCTGTTATTAGATGCATAATTGTTTAAGATTGTTTTGATGAAGTAGCCTCCTTGTTATTATAAAATGGTCCTCTATATCCCACTAACAGTGTTTTCTCTAAGATCTTTCCTTATGTAGCATTAACATAGCCACTCCATCTTTCTTTTGATTAGTGAAAGCTTGGTATCTTTTTCAGTCCTTTTGCCTTTAACCTGTTTGCATCTTTATATTTCAAGTGAGTTTCTTGTTGGCAATGTATTACTGGATCTTGCTTTTCTATCTCCTCTGACAATCTCTGCTTTTTATTTGGAATATTTA